TTGGGGCAGTAGGCCCAGCGTCTGGCAGATGGAGGGCTGGCGGCCACTGGGGCACCGAAGGCGGCTGCTGTTGAGAGGTAGGAGGGAAGTATGGTGATGCTTGAGGAGGGATGGGAGCCTGGGATGTAATAGTAAATGCTTTGTGGCGGAGGGATGGTATAAGTGCTACCATATTTGGCTGAGGGAAAGCAGCCGGAAGAGAGGTACCGTAACCAGGAATCGAACCCGGGTCCTGTCCCATGACGGGCGGAGGTTGGTACTGCGGCGCTGGCACACCAGCGTATATCGACGGATAATAATTGGGCATCCCATAAGGATACACCCCGCCGTAAGGAGGCATATAAGGGTACCTGAGGTCAGTGGTGTGTCCATACTCCCTCTCATGGGCCCTACCAAGGTCCAGACTTCTCTATATACGACGACGGAGCGACGCCAACGTCCCTTCCACCATGGCGTAGGGCGATAGCCATGGCAGATGGGAGTATTACGAGCGGTAGATAAGGTATCATGGACACATTTAAAGAGATAATATCTGCCATCACAAGTACACCAGCAGCAACTACCGAGGTAAGGAAGCATTTACACCCACACATGCTCGCCCGCTCGACCCGACACTGCACAGCAACCAATAGGAAGTATACGCCCCCCCGAGATCGACTACAGCTTCCTGGAGAAACAAAAACGTATATCCCCATCTCAGAAGAGGGGTAGGATGAATAAGATCAGCCCAGGAAGATCCAATGGTCGGCTCCCAGAATTCCGTCAAGTGCTGAAGTGATTTAGCGCACGCCATTCTGATCGATTTGCTCATTCCACACAGATCTTCAACGGACGACTGTATAAAAGAGGCTCGTCACCAGTGTAAGCCTCTGGTGGGACTAGAGCCAGTCTCTTGAAGTCTGCAGTTGGTCGTCGAGTCGGCCATGTAGTTCTGGTTAGGGCTATGGAAGAAGCTCCCTTGGATGTGAATTGGCGGGCTTCATCGTGGAAGTTCTTCCGTCTCGCAGTTCCTATATGGGCATCCCCTCTTCCTCCCTCCGGGCGTATCTTAGGTCCACTTCACGACCATCTGATCGATTCCTGATATCGTCAACTCGGCAATGTGCCCAGGTTGCCGCAGCTAGGGCAACAAACGCTGCAGGGGCGACCTTTCGAAAGTAGGACCTCCCAAACCCCGCTGGAAACTTGCCCAACTCCAATGGAGCTCTCGGTTTTTGCATCGTCCTAGTAACTTGCTGGCTCTCCCGGGGCGAAAAGTTGACAACGTTTGATCGGAATGCCTTGTTCGTTCGGTAGCGAGTACGAATTTTTCTAGAGTAGACCTAAGAGTCATGCGATCTGTGACAGAGTTCTCCCATTATGGCAGGATTGGTTTCTACGACGCTCCTACTCTGAGTAAACGGCCGAAGCGAAAGGCTCCTTTGGGCCACTTTAAGCCATGGGCTATTCGAGGACGGGAATCGAAGCGGCTAGCACCTGACGAGCAGAAGGTTGTCAGGGGTATCAACGCTGGTGAGTAGAATGCCTCTACCGGGGTTCGAACCTGCGCCCTCCCAGGCTTGATAGCCTCATCGTCCGACGCGAGCGATTTCCCAGACGCCACTACAGAAGAGGGTCGGAAGAAGCTAGAGGCCATTCAGCAGCGCAACAGTGCTCGACTGCGACGAATGGTGGTTCGGCCGGTAGCTGGGATGCCCAGGGACCATCGACTGTTCATCCAAGGGGATGAATCCATGCATCTAGAGGACCTGGGCTTGCCGGCTTCTAGTGTCTTTCGAGAGGACGGTGTGCAGAAGGTGATAATGTTTTTCATCTGGACTCGAATCTTCGCTGTGCGCGATATGCATATCTTGCAGTGGGTTTTTAGGTTAGGGATTTGTATCGTAAGAAAATGGGTGATAAAGTCCCGGTTTCGGAATGGTTTTGGCACAAAAAACGGCGGCAACGGAAGAAAGAGCCGGGAACTCTCGATTGGGCCGGCGAGTGGTCAGAGGGACGGACATTCAGCGAAACAGGTGGGACTTGATTCCCGTGAAAATTCACAAGTCAACAGCGCAGGTCCGGAAAGCAAGCCGAAGCGGTCTCACGAAGAGGAGGATCCCCCTGGAGCGTTTATGGGAGGTATCCAAGACCTGGTGGGAAAACAATCATCTAAAGTAGACGCCAAGACAAGAGAAGTGAATCGGCTGTTCTGGAGTTGGTGATGTTATCGAATGTCGCTAGGCGGTGTCCCCTACGCGGTTCGCGAGGAAGTACCTGGGGAGCTCTAAAAGTGTTGACATCAACGCTGAGGCTGCCAATATCCAGCAGTGCATGGCCAGGAAGGAGGGAGAGCCCGCGGGGAAGCCGGAATATGATAAGTTGGAAAAGGAGCGGTATGGGGAGAAGGATGGGTCGGCGGCCCTTGGTGATGACTCGGGCTTGACGGCGACTGATAGGAAGGTTATAACGGATGTGGGCACTAATGTGAGTTGAGGGGTAGAGGCGAAGTCCGTAAGTAGATGGGATAGGCTCGAGTGATCATGCCCACACTTGTTGAAGCTCATAGAAGTCGCGATAGGAATATGCTTTAGTTGATGTGTTTACTTGAAGACTGCTGAAAGGTTCGTACTCTATGGAGTTTGATTCGCAGTGTTGTATAGGAAAATATTCAGAAACCTATAATGTTCCAAGGAAGAAGCCATTTAGAACGCATTCCCGCATAGTAATGGAAGTTTCCTAGGTAAATGTCAATTGACATTACTAGAATATTCCCTACTGTTATGAAACCCTAGGGGGCACCTTATTTTGTATAGGTTTTTGAATTCTCTCGTCTTCTCTGCAGATAATAGGGCAGCTGAGAGCAGCAGCGGCTAAGTATGCGGCTACGGGCATATCGCCCGAGATGCTCCTAAGGGAGGGGTATTGTGGATCGGGCGGAGGGATTGAACACACTAAGCGGACGCAGGAATTGGCGGCTCATGAGGGGTCCTCGTTTGTTAAGGTGACACGACTCATCGCCGCGTGGGTGACACGGTGGTGACACATTTTTGTGTCAGCTCCTTGAGGCAGGGCAGGGCTGTACGGAAAATATCAACCTGTTTATCCGCTCAATCGGCAGTCGAGTAGCGACCGCTCGAGGGGCTAAGAAGGAGAAGTTGTTGGCCAAAGCCTTGGAGATCCACGACAAGATGATCGAACATGGTTTCGAGACCAATGAGGATACCTACGTCGGTGGCGGCCCTCAGGGGCAGGAAGAGAATCTTTGCCGTGCGTTGCAGGTCAGTTTGATGATTGCATGCTATGATGAGGCGGAGTTGGCGAGGAAGGTTTATATCAAGATGAGGGAGCATCTCCTGGCACCGTCACTCAAGGTGAGCTTATATGGGTGTACTTCCGCTGTGTGGAATCTTCCCTGTGCGGGAGAATCTTTGGCGCGAACTTGTGACCAATTTTTTGTGCTGTATCTGGCTTTACGCTGGTGTACGCTCAGGTGTATGGTGCTTTGATAAAAGCGCATATACGGGCTCATGACATCACTAGTGCATTTGCATTGCAGCGCAAGATGGAGGACGAGGGCCTCAAGCCAGGTGCGTGTTGGTAATTTCGTGGCGCAGTGACGGTGATCTCGACTCAGGCGTCGAGATCTACACTATGCTGATTGACGGGTTAGTGAAAGCGGGAAGATACGAAGTGGCGTGGGAGCAGTTTTGGGATGCGCGGTCGTTCAAACAGATCCAACCTGTGGGGAAGTCCCGAGTTGATATCGTCTCGAGAGTGTATATTAGGACTCGGTAATGTTCACTGTGATGGTGAAGGCGTGCCGGAAGAAGGAGGAGTGTGAGAGGGCGATGGGTGTCTTTGAAGATATGAAGCAGAGTGGACAGTTTCCGACGGACATCACTTACCAGGTTATAAGGAGCATCTTGAGATTGTGGAGTAGTAGTCTTCACGAAGTTGCGGAAGTGTGGTATCAGATTTTGGAGTTTAATATCAGAATGTGGTTATTCATCACTATTTTAGTATAGTAAGGTTTTGCGAAATATAAACTAACACATGTGCTAGTCGAAAGCAATATGATACCAAGAAAGCCTCTGAATCTCACGTTCTCTGATCTCTCGTACAGGGATGCATCGAATAGTATTTACGACGAGTCGTGGAAAATTTGGTAACCGTATTTTCCCTAGATGCTCTGAATTGGTCGTTGGCCATCTTCAGGAGTTGATATTGTGTTACAGCACGGATAAGTACTTCGCCCCTCGAGCCTTCGAGATCTGGAATCAAATGCAAGCGGAGGACATGCCCATGACGACGCCGATCGCTAGGGGGCTCCTGCAGGCTTGTGCCACTCTGGGAGATGTACTGTGAGGAAGAGTGTGTGCATGCGTGCAGATTTTGATGGTCAGGTTCCGAGACTGCAAGCAACGGTACGGGCGATACGGCTAGCTGGGATACCCTTCAGCACGCAAATGCACGGGTGAGTTGAAGGAGGAACGGTTTGACTTTATTCGTCGACTACCTTTCGGGCAGGTTATGTATCCGCGTGTTCGGCGCGGCAATGCAGTTGAAAGGAACGACTGATTTCGAGAGAGTATCGCATCTTCGTTGTGCGTGGCATATAGTGTCTGCGGTGAGGGAAAGCAATAAGAAGCTTACTGCTGATATCCTTGATGAGGTTACGAAGGTCAGAACGGGATCATTACGTTTATCGAAGACTTCGCCGTTCTATGCTTCACTGTGTTTGAAATGCCATTTTAGATTTGTCGTAGTAGTGGTGTTGTAGGAAAATGCGTCTTGCAGAAGGTATAGAAGAAAATTCTTCCCATAATCGTCGTAAATCCAGAAGCACATACTCCAGTGTTAGGTATATGCTGCTGGCGGCTTCGCGAGTCATGCTATTGACATGGTGCAACAGTACGCTTCCTTTGGGGTGGCTCCGACCGTCCGAACGTGAGGACCTGACCAGAGGCCGAATGATGGTGACGTTGGTTGGTGTTGGGTTAGATATGAGACGTTGCTGAGAATGCTAGGGAAGGGTATGGGAGATAACGCTAGGTTTATGGCGTTGTACACTCAAATGAAGGAACACTTCAAGGCGATTGAGGTTAAGGAAGTTGAGAAGAAGAAGATGATGGAAGCAGCGGATAACTCGCTGGTTGGCGTGGAGGGGATCGAGGTGGGAGGTGCCACGTATTGGCATTTGAGGTCAACGCTTGCGATGGGCTGATGGGTTCTAGTGGAGGCTACTACTGCTTATCTCTGGTCAGAACAATGCTTTGGTGGTCCCCGACGATCCGGACAGGTGTCCGTCACAGATGAGTGAGGAGATGCTACGACTAGCATTGGATGTGGCGATGAACTCAAAGAGCAGTCGAGCCACTCTGGCTGTCTTGGATGACATGTTCGCCCGACTTGGTCTATGGGAGACACGCAGGTGTTCGTCAGGTACAGTCGTGGGGTGATGCCATTGCCGTACCAAGCTGGTCGGCTGGCCAAGGTGGGCCGTAAGGTCGTGCAGTTGCATCATATGATAGGCAAGCTCGTCGCCAAGAATCGGCAACAGGTGGGGTCGCCCTGAGAGTTGCCATTGCGATGTGTGTATGCTTCTATCAGATGTTCGATAAGGTCAGCAGACGGAAGAAACTGGATGAACTCGAGATTCGCCAACATGAGCTGTTGCTGGCCAAAGACGGCCTTACCACCTTGGACGCCACTCCGTTGCATGAGGCTCGAGAGCGGTAGGTTTCGAATAGTAGGGCTATCGAGATCTCGTATGGTCAGGTATTGGGATTATATCGATAGGAAGAGTGGTGGTAAGGATCCATCACTACCATATGAGCAATACAGACAGATGAAGAAAAAAGGCGGAGACTTTTACGCGAAGATGCGGGATAAGCCTCAACCCAATTTCATCGCGGAAAAATTCATTTAAGATCTCCATGGACCTCCAGGTTGCATTTATTTGTCCTTTTCGTGTTCATGTTGTTTCTGAGGCATTCAAGTGTTGATGTTTTTGAAGTCGGTTGCAGAGGAAGAAGTACATGGTCAAAACCCTCAAGGTAAAGAATTCAACAGAAATGGCTAGCATATATGGAATGGCTAGCGTATCGGCATCAAGTCTAACCAAGCAGGCGACGGCGTTGGACTTTAAACTGACACACACAGAAATGACTTTCGTGTGAATTCCATGACTGGATCAGTGCAATTATTGCTGGCTGATGGGAGTCATGGTAGCACTCATGGCTCTCCTGTTAGCGCCTGGACGCATGAATTCCCGCTGCCAAAGTCAGCGTTTTGTATGTTTTCTATGAACGTTTTGTATTAGAGTTCTTCTATGTCGCATCTATTACTCGAGAACACGAATGCCTCGATTGAGTTCCAAGTAGAAACCAATGTATATAATATGCAGTAGTATATAAAAGGACACTACATTTTGTTCACAGTGCCTTTCAACCTATCGTCAATGCGGACGAGAAACCTCAAGCGATTGACTTCAGTCTCGACCGCCTCCCAGTCGTGGGCCTCATCACAGAGCCTCGTGAGCTCATCCTCGCACTCTTTGATCCTCTCATCGTTCTCCTTAGTGAGCTTGAGGAGCTCCTCCTCGTCCCCCTCGGCATCATCAATCTCTTCATTGTACTCCAACGTTTCCATCAGCACACTAGGGTCCATATTTCCCATCCCCTCTGCCTCGTCGTCGTCCGCCTTCACACCGGTCTCCAGTTGGAGGAGATGCTCCGCTCTTTTCAAGGGAGACCTCAGCGTTTTGATGGCGTCATTTACCATAGCGGAATCGGCAGCAGCAACCTCAGCGTCGGCGCCGTCAACATGAGCAACCTTATCTGGATGCAGCCTGTTCTGAAGTCGCCTGTAGCACTTCTCAGCGCCCTTGGTGTCGATACTGTACTTGTGGGGCTGGTCAAGCAGACAGAAGTAATCAGTGGGACATTCACGAGGCTTTTCCGGTTGGAAGGAATCACAAGATGGACAGAAGGGGCAGAAGGAATTCATGACATAGTCGCATTTAGGACAGTGTAGTTTACAGCAGTTTTTCGAACAGCCCTTTGCTGTTGACGCGAAATTGCGATGAACGTCACCAAAGAGGCCGCTGGACTTCTGTCGGACGAAACCGCCCCTCGCCGTAAACGTGAGGGCTCGCTGAGCTAGAGAAGGAGCACTCAGTAGAGGAACTACAGCACGGGGAGCCAGGTAAAAGGAAGAAAGCATAGTGGTAAATATAACAGGGAATTAACTACAAGGATCTGACCAGCGCTGAACTCAACAGCTCACTATTGAAAACTGGAGTACATGAGAACCATGCGTTTATCATATCATCTTCTTGCGAGTGAAATAGCGTCTGTAATAGAGTATTTGCAGTCCCGCCACAGTGATAACGACACCAGCATTCAGCAGACAGAATGCGACCAACCTCGATGACGTGCCTGAGGGGCACAAGAAGCCGAACTGTGGAGGCTTTGGGGGCACCAACTCTCTGTGGTTTGCCGCATCCGTTCATCCCTCTCCCTCATATAGAATAACGTCTTATGGTACTCTTTCAAGATAACCTGTACCCGGTGGAGTTGTACCTACTACGAAGCCCTCAGGGATGACAGGACGATAGGTGTTAAATCAGCTACCACAAGCAGCGTGGGGAAATATGCACATGCTCAACTACATGTGTCGGTGATGATATGCAAATTCCGATGAAATTTTTGGGGGAATTAGGCTTAGTTTCTGTCTACTTCTATCCTAGCTCGTATATAAGGGGAGCCAACATATATATATACCGCCATCACCGGCCACAATTCACTACTACTACCACTACTACTACTACTACCACTACTACTACTACTACTACTACTACTACTACTACTACTACTACTACTACTACCACTACTACTACTACTACTACTACTACTACTACTACTACTACTACTGCCTTACTTGAGTATCATCTAAATGATCTCTTCTAGCCAGCTGAGTAAAGTCAGCAGCATCACCACCGTACCTCGAGAAAGACCACCATCGCTGCATACATGATGAGTACCCACCTTAGAGCTAGCGATACCTCAGTAGGAGCCCATCGGCCATTCCTCGACAGACCAATACAGATCCAGTGGGGCCCATCCTGCTCCACAAAGGTATTATCGGGTTGACCTAGAAACGCACCTGTTCGATGGTCGTGGCCACTTTGATGGTCTTCCGGTCGTGCTCGACTGCCAACACACCGTCAATCTGTACCATATGGGATCGTCCACGGTGAAGGAGAGGGAACTCACTCCAGTTTCGTACAGCCCTAGAGGAATGCCAGACTCTGGAGTATCGTATTCAGCGCCAGGGCGAACGACCTGGATTTCATGAGAGCAGCCATTATATGCTTCCCAAGGCCTACTAGGTCTATTAGAGCTGACGAGGCTGCCTTGTCGTCGTCATCAGGAAGTACCCTACTATCAACTACCTGAAGAACTCTATTACGGCTCAACTACGGTGTACGCTCTACAGGTAGTAGCAGTAGTAGGTAAAAATTGAAGTCGGCCCTTCAGCCGAACTATGTGATTCCCTCAGTGTTACCAGCAGCTGCCCAGCAGAGAACTCCTCCCCCAGGCACTTCACGTTACTTCTCGGATCAATCGATATCGTGATATTCATCTTCGCTGCAGACACGTTGCACCCGACTGCTGCTAGTAACGCCACCACAGCGCCTGGTACCATCACGAAAACCAACAAGCGCCGTCCTTACGACGATCAGATACTCTCAAACTCAAACCAATATAGATCAAAAAGCCTCCATGAGAGGTAACAATAATAGAACTGATGCTTGTAAGCAACAGATGTACGACATAGGATGGTCCCCGGAGGGCCTAGGGGTGGAACCAATACGACGTCAGCGTGCCGAAACCAAAGGCAGCCGCGAAGCAGTAGAGCATACCACCGGCGGGATTCGACTGCATCCATCTGAAAGAGAGCAAGGATAGGTCCCGAGGGTTGTAAGGGAAGGGCCCTACTTGGTGAAGCAACCACCGTTCCAAGTGGGGGAGCTGAAGCAGGACTTGCAACCGCAGAAAAGACGAACACCATCGTGCTCGGGCTCCCAACGACGGGGACGGAAACCCTGAAGGGCAATAAATGTCAGATGAAGTCGAGAGAGGACTTACTCCTTCCCTCTTGGAACATTTACAGTGACCATCAACCCATGGCTGTGTCTTGGACTCACCACAGGCGCACCACCAATAGACCTATTCTGTATCATACATAATCGACCCTCAAGATATGCCTCACCTTGCCAGACTCCACAGTGCATACATAGGGTCTATACTGGGCCACCTTAGGGGTCGGGTCATGCTCCCACCAAATCTCAGTCCATGTGAAGCGAGGCGCTGACAGGCAAACCTTCAACTCAGTGCCCTCGACAAGGAAGGCTCACCAGAAGCAGCGAAGAGCCCTCTAGAGGCGGCTACCGTGTTGGGAAGGAGCCTCTTACCTCCCTTATGAACAGCCGAGGAGAGCATTAGCTGATGACAGAATTCAATTTCAGTTCTATCACTGGTGCAGCATTACTCATAAATCTTGCTCTCTTGCATTTCCTCAACGCTGAAGTCTGGTTCATCTCGTTTCATCACAGTGGTTGCCTCTGTTGTCTTTTTTCTACCTTACCCGTTGTCGAGGATGCTCTCTAAGGCTGCATATGTCCGGCCCGTTGCGGCTTATTCCGCTTTTGGCAGAACGGCGGCTTGCCAGGTGATTCCTCGTATTCATACCACTCCTTCCGCATTTCCTATCAGGTGCGTCATTCGTCCTCCTTTACCAACGGCATGGGCTTTGGTATCACCATACCGCAGCTCTCCGGTCCTGGCGGCGTTTTCGTTACTAAGTAGACTCCCCATACGCCCGTCCCTTCCCACCGCTTCGACGGGTTAGGTATAAGATCACCCGACCCTACAATGAAAACACGACTTGGGACGACCTGCTGCTGTACATGCCCGAGAGAGACCAGCTGGCCAAGTTCACGAAGGATGTCCCTCTCTTCATAAGGTACTTGGCGAAGGTGTGGTATGCTCTACTTTGGCCGCAGGTATCTCAAATTGGTCACGGACCAGGAAGGCCGTAAGGAAGCCTTCCGGGAGTTCTACCAGAGGTAGTTGAACGTGAACTCGTGTGAGGCCGCAGCCCCTCATCATCAGATGCAAGGACGGCCTCACGGTAGAGAACGACATTTTTCTCACCACTGATGAGCTGTTGGCTCTCATGTGGAAGAATGGGTACACCGAGAAAGGTAGTTGAGTTGCGGATGGAGTGGTATGATATAATATTCTCATATCAGAACGGAACGCGATACAAGCGACCTTCCCCTCGGACTACCGCTTCCACTACCCTGAGCTCTCTGTCCTCTTCGATGTCCCTGAGGAGGATACTTACAAGTTTTGCCTTCGTAGTCGCATGGAGAAAAGCCATATTGGCGAACTTGACTACGACAAGGTTGGAATTAATTCCATACCACACCTTATTCAATTCATTCAGGTTAAGCGGAAGGGCTTCCTCAGAGATCACTGGTTGATCTTCGCTGGAGGATGGTAAGACCAGACAGCCTTAAAAGGCCATCCAACGTGCCGTAGGTACATCTTCAAGAACTTCCCATTCTACAACTACCTCTTCTACATGAAGACCTACGGGTTCTCTCTGTGGTTCGTCAGCTGTTGGTACCTCTTCTCGAGAATGGCCAACCGTGTTTGGAGACGGTAGGAGCTCCTCATCATAGTCCTCGCCTTTGGAATTTTTCCGCATTTCCAGCAACGAGTTCATGGCTGAACAGAAGACTGCGGCTGGAGTGATGGAAGGAGAGGATAAGATCCTGAAGAACATGTCACGCTTCACCAACGACTCCATGTAGGGGGATAGTCATCCTGCTCTCCTCGGGACGGATCGATTAGGTGTGTTAACTACCTGAAGGCTTTCAAGAGGGAGTCTACCGACAGATTGGCACAGTATCGTCATGCGTTGATCCAGAAGCAAAAGCACGATGTGAGTTTTATGCTACCATCGCGACCGCAATTTTCGTCAGGTCACTGATCGTGTGCTGCATCAGCTTCAGAACATCGAGAGATCTGAGCATAACATAGCCGCTTCTATGCAAGGTGAGTAGGGAGAGGCCACCCTCGATCGCAACGATCTGCCCATTCTCATCAGAAATTCTCGTTCGGGAGACGGCATCATCTTTCCGTGATATGTTCCCGACTGATCCCAAGATGCAGCAAGAGAGCCTCAACACAGCCATTGCTCAGTTGGCTGGTGACACCGTCGATGCGTAGGAAGGGCGAGAGCGTAAAAGTGGCCGAAGTGCGTTGTTTTAGGTCTAAGGATCCGGTCAAGAATCACTTTGTGAACTCCTTCAAGGACTTGAAAACTCAGGATGTTTCCAAGGCTACTGTACGTACTGCTCTCCTCTTCCTGCTCTTCATACGGTTGTTGGTCTCAGGCTGATGCTAAGGGCACTCTGATACAGCGATTGGCGTTTGATAAGAGGAGAAGTAGGAAAGGAGTGGTATTGGGTGGAGCCAAGAAGAGCTGTTGTTTAGGTGAGAGGGATTTCGAGAGGCAGTATATGGTGACCAAGGCTGAGGCTGATGAAGTGAGAAGTCTTGCTAAGAAGGCTAAAGGGAAGGGAGGGTAGTGGCTTGTATGGTGACACTGAAGAGGACTGCTATGGTGACACCAGATACGATTGGTCAATACTTGATGCGACGGACATGGCTCGTTTGGAGGAGCTCTACACTAAAATAAACAACAAGGTCGGGTTCCCGGTAGGAATCATGGCCATGTAGATCTGGTTTTCATATTACCGTGTATTAGATGCTCAGCGAAGCCGCTGTCCAGTCGGTGCCTGTCGACGCTTGCGCTGATCTACGAGCAAAGGTAGATGGTTGGAGGTGGATGTTCCTGTCTACTTGTCGGATTTCAGGAGTATACGACCCATATGAACGAGCAGCTGGAAGTGTTACGCGTGAAGCTGCGTAACGAGAGGTTGAATATGTTCGCTGCCGCCTTCTGAGGTGGTTGGTCGGCGGAGTTTCCTTGATTGCTGGTTTCGTTAGTGCCTCGATAGGCTTTGTGTGTTGCGTAATAGTGATGGTAGAGATAGAGGGAAGCGCCACGGGCAGCACCTACACGAGTAGGCGAGACTTGTGCTAATCGACCTAGAATAAGTCGATCCACTAAGTCGATTCCGAGATCATTCGCGGGTTTATCACAAATAATCAACTCGCAGCATAAATTGAGATGAACAAATACTTTTGTCTATCGATCTATGAAGACTGCGTGCTCATTAACTTGCATATTGCTTCGGGTCATCGTGAACAACCTGTCGTAATGTCATTACCGACAGTGACAGGAGGACTTTTGGTGTTCACATCCACTCTCTTCGGTTTAATCATATCTATAGATCGCCAAAGTGCAAGTGACTCTTTACCTACGATGCGCTTATTTGCTGCTCAGCACACACGAAGTTGTGCTCTCCTTAACGTTACAGCGGTATTCATTCGTCTAGTAGCCCGACGGATGTATACCAGGCAGACTATAGTTGTACATTCAGTGCTTAGTACTGTCCTGCTATTACCGAGAACAATAGCCGGCTTGCCTACAGATTTCAGTCTATGTTTATGTCAGGATGAACATCATGCAACAGTATGCAAGCCTTGTATGTGTTTCGAGTGTCCACTTACTGTGTATACTTCCAACACAAAACGGAGGAGTCTCAGTATGATGCGGATTAATATACATGTCAGACAAGTATTATTCACGATGGCCTGCCTCTAGCGACCCGAGGAGGAGATGGTCAAGTTGGGTAGAATTGCACGGAGGAGTCTGGCGAGTTCAGGGCAGGGTGATGGTGGGAGGAGCAGCTCTGCCAAAGACTGCCGCCTCAAATCCCAGCCCAAGGTATCTATGATAGCAGCGAGTGAGTGCAGAGTAGTGGAGACACGATAACACCATTGTGCCTCTGCATACCGACTCCCCGACTGAGTGGAAAGATACCACCTACTTGAAGGGTAGTAGTACTCCTCTCCTTCAAGTGGAACCGCAGTAGGAGGCTCAGCAACTGGTCGGGTGCCCTTCAGCGCCTCGATACCACTCCTTCTCGAATCTACCCAAGATTGCAGATCACCCCCAATTAGTGGTTATACTTCATACCTGGCGTCGCTAGAGAGGCACTGCCAGTAAGACTACCACCACGCAAGGACGGTGCCAAATTAGAGAAGACTCGATCCTCCGAAAAATTATGTTCGGGATCGAAATCCCTATCATGAAATCTGCCATAGAGTAGCACATGAACCTACGGTGGTCGGGCGCCCAGCCGCCTCCGGAGCGGCACGTCCTGCAGTCCACGCAAACGATGGGCGTCATTGGTAAGGTTGAGGACCACCCATCCCCTCTCTCTAATGCCGCGTACGCTACTGCTGCTGCTACTACCACTCGTACCGCTGTTCACGGATACTACCGCGTGGGACAATACTCGACAATAGACGCACCTAGCGATCACTGAATAGGAGTATAAGCAGGGGAAAGCAGCCCTACCTGTACATCCTTGACATCATTATTGGACCATTACTCCTCCCAGACTGACAGGGCGTGGCCCCTCCCTTCTTCCGGGCTGCTACCGCGCTACCATCAAGACCTCTCGATACCTCCGCTCCTCTAGTCCTCCGGAAGAATGGACAGTGGTTCACCTCGCCATCCTTATTGAGTATAGCCGGCAACCAGAGCCAGACAGCAGCGTCCATAGGGTCTCTATCACCACCGTCCATGGACCTCAGATACTGACAGTAGGCAGCGCAGCTGTAGAGGTTAGCGCACGCCCTGACCGGCTCATTAGGGGAACAACGGCAAGTGACTATCGTAGGAACGTCGTCGTGAATTATCCCCCTAAATGGTACTATGGACCTCACAGCGGAGCCCCTGAGCATCCATGAGCACACCCCACATAGGCAGCTACCAGCCATTGACCCGTTGCCCAACAAGGTCTCGGTTCGGGACCAATTCTGTATCCTGCTCTGTTGCCACTTAGATGCAGCTGCGATGAGCCGCGGGTAGGGCTGGTCAAGGGGGGACAGATGCCGAGACAGAAGGAGGCAGAGGGCTCGGTAGATGCCAAGCTGGTGACCCTCGGATACTATCAATGCTACGAACGCCATCGCAACGTGGCCTGTGTCCACTAGTAGAAGGCGTCCTCGAGAGGCGGCAGCTGAGCGTGCAAAGTCAAAGAGGAGTGGTATGGCGTTTAGGAAGGCCCTAGTAGAGCGTCTCGGCCCCTCCGTACCCCAGGAGGCCCTCACGCAAGTGACCGTCGCTGGGAAGCCCGAGAGGTTGGGCTCATCAGCCGGGCGCAGATCGATGACATGTGTTGGGACAGCCTGCCGTACCAACCACTCCGGGACCAAGCTCGACTGCAACGGCACCGTCAGCAACAATGTATCCTCCAACACCCGAGAGAGCCTCGGCTCGACCTCACCAGCGACCGCCACTATATCGTCCTCAAGGTAAGGTAGTCTGATGGACCTGGTCGTCCCAGGAGGCGAGGACTGGCGAGAAGTAGCAGGGGACCGACGGGCGCTGCTGAGCACACTCATCTCCAGGACACCCTAGAAGGAGACCATAGTAGAAAAGGAGGGGGACTCTTACGTTGGTCTCCCCTGGGATGGGGAGGGCCCGCGGCCCATTCACTCGAGGTGTCTTTTCTGAACGTCTACTCCGCCACGTGTGAGGACGTACGCCACATTCCAGCTGGACGGCTGCATTGACCCTATGGAAGCGATGGAGGACAGCCGGGATGGTCGGCC